AAGCCCAAGCAGAGCACATACACAGGGGTTTCCGATAGGTTTCTGGAAATAGAAACAGTGATTGTAGACCCCACTGCCACCCTCACAGACTGGCCCCATTTTCAGCCTCTGGACCTGAGACCCACCCCCTTGGCTTCTGTGCCCCCACCCCCCCACGGGGCAGCTCCAGGGACCTCACCCACGGCTTCCCCAAAGCCCTCCCACGCAAGACCAAATGGTTTCACCTTTTGCTCCCATTTTTCAAGATTTAAAGAATAAACCAGGCCTGTTGCTTTCTCCCCTGAAGAGCAAACCCTGCCTCTGGCTTTGTAAGCCCACCATTTACGGGGAGCATTTCTTTGCACCCAGAGACAGCTGCCACGGCGATGCCCTGGATTCTTGGCCAACAGTGGGACCTGCAGGAGAGAGGCCATCCCGGTCTTACTCCTGACTGCGTACTCTGAGGGTAACCGAAATGTGGATATCGACAGGCTGCGTGCGTGCGTGCATGGGTGTGTGCGCGCATGTGTGCATGAGTGTGCGTGCGCGTGCGTGCATGGGTGTGTGTGCATGAGTGTGCGTGCGCGTGCGTGCATGGGTGTGTGTGCATGTGTGTGTGCGTGTGTGCATAGGTGTGTGTGTGTGTGCGCGCGTGCGTGCATGCGTGGGTGTGTGTGTGTGTGCAATCCGGCTCTAAAAGGCTCACAGAAGTGACTGTCTTCGCGAGGATGCGGTGCCGCTGTTTTAAATGTCTGCCAGGTGAGGTGATGCTCAAGACCGACCCTCCCTCATAAAGACCGCTGCTCCCCCCGAGAAGCCACCTCGGGGTCGATGTGTTGTTCAGATGTGAAGAGAAGCAGGAGAGGGTGTCTAGCCTGGAATAGGCCCCTTAGGATTTCACTCAGGTGTTGCCAGGGGTGCTTCAGGGAGACGGCAAGTCACGGAGACAAAGGCCCCAGAAGTAGAAGGGACCTCCAGTCCCACTGGCCCAGTGGAGCCACGGTGGACACCCCCGTTCACTCCCCAGTGGTCAGTCCCAACGCCTCTCTAGTCACCTCCCACTGTTGAGAACCATCCAGATTCTCCCTGTTCCAGCCCCTTTGCAGCTCGGGGTGAGCACGTGCCCAGGGATGGGCAGTGACATGTAAGAGGAAGTCTACAGGAACTTCTGGGAAAGCTGATGCTCTTCTGATAAAAGAGACGGACATGGGTCCCAGCTTCTTCCTGCCTTGATTGGGGATGTGATGCCTGGAGCCACAGCAGCCCTCTCGCTACAAAGAGAAAAAGGCCAAGAGAATCTCAAAGACATTGACCTTATCATCATTGGACCAAGCCAATGCCTGCAACCTTCCTCCTACAGAACTCTTGTAAATAGAAATAAAGCCCTCTTTGGTTAAGCCATCGTTGGCCAGTCTCTGTTATTTGTGGACAAAAATATTCCTGACACAGAAAGCGAGCCCTGCTGCCCAGAACTGCCTGCAGACTAAACTGCAAACCCAGCTCCCTCTTCCCATCAGAAACCTGTTGGGTCCAGACCCCCAGCAGCAGTACTGGGACCTGCCCTTCCACACCTCCTCCCCGTGGCCTACAGGGCTCCTAGCATCTGGACACCACGAATCCCCACACCATTCAGTACTAGCAAGTATCTGCTGAGTGCCTGCTCTGTGCCAGAAGCAGGTCGTGTGCTGGGGGTGCTGTGGGAAATGAAACATCTGGAACACTGGGGTGGCCTCCTCTGAACCGGTCTCCTTGTTTCTGTCCCTGCCCTATGCACAGTCTGTTCTCGACAGAGCGGCCAAATGACCCTGTTAAAAATCTAAGGCAGATCTTATCCTTCCTCTGCAGAGCCCTCCATGGCTCCCAGTAGAGCCCTTCCTGTGACGGAGAAGGTCCCACGTCCACTCCCTCTTCACCTGTGACCTGTTTCCCCCTGCCCGCCCCCCTCGCTCACGCAGCTCTCCAGCCTGGACTCCTCACACCCACCAAGCACGCCCCACCTCAGTGCCTTTCCACCTGCTAGTCCCTGGCCAGGAGTGCCCTTCCCTCTGGGAGCCACGCAGCCTGCTCTTGCTAAACAAGGCCCTCCTCGGTCACCCCATCTAAAACCTCAACATCCACACATACCCTCCACCCTCCTCCCCTGCCTTGTTTTTCCTCCTCACCATTTATCACCATCTAACATTATGTATTTCACTTGCTGATCGTGTGTCTCTCCTAACAATAATGTCAGCACCGTGAGGACAAAGACTTTAGTCTGTCTTGTTCACTGCTGATTCCCAAATGGCCTCCCCCTTCCCCACCCCCCTCCTTCTTGGCCAGCAGGTGGCTCGGCTCAGGTAAACCTGGCAAAGTGGGCCCAGGGACCAGAATCACAGATCATCCCACTTTCGGCTTTGAGAAAAGGCACCGGGCCAAATAGGGCACAGGGCACTCCGCAGGTGCTCCATAAATGTTTGTTGAACCATTGCGAAACCCTCTCTTGCCTCCCCCCAGCCTCTTCCCAGGGCCAGCCCCTCCCATCCCCATCCCCCACCTGCCTCCTGCCTCCACAGTTTTGACCCTGCCCAGAGATGTCAGCTGGGCAGGACACCGGACCCTCTGGCATTTGTGCCTGCAGGACCCGCATGGAGCTGGAGACCTTGGAGAAGGAGGAGCCCCAGCGTCAGGCCTGCCCAAACCGAGGCCACGAGCAGCAAGCCCTGTGCTCACGGAGGCCACATTCCCTCCCGCCCACAGGACCACAAGCTGGGTTTGGGTTTGGGTTTGGGTTTGGAGGGCACCCTCTTCAAGGGTGCACAGCACCAAATACAGAGCCCGGAGGGAGGGGGGACAAAGGGGCCTCCTCCCCCACCCCCTGTTCTGCAGTGCGTGCTCCTGAGGCCTTGCCAAACTCAATATTACATAATTCCTGGGCTATGAGGGCAGGGTCACCCCTACCAGTCCCAGCCCAGCGCTCTGCACACAGTAGGTGTTCAGAAAGGTTGTGAGTGGGTGTCAGTAAAGATGACTGCATTACGGAGGCCAGCAATGCCCCACCGTGACAAGTCAGTGTCGTCATCACCCGTTGCCGATGAAGAAACCAAGGCTCAGGACAATTTAAATGAAGGGACCTGAGAGCCGCCACGGAGCAATGCCTGGGGAGGGGAGGCTCACGCCGAGCCGGCTGTCGGCACAGCCTGCCTTTTCCCGTGGGCGCGGGGCCTGGCTCTTAGACGCTCATCGGAGGCCCCTGTGCCATCCTGACCTTTGGCCACGAGATCTGAGAACCTGTTTCACCTTCCGAGTGTGATTTGTCCATCTCAACTTAAGGGATTCACCTCCACCTATAAAAATAGACTCAGGCCAACTAGACCGACATGAATCCTGGGGTGAGGACCGTCTGCACACTGTCATGGCCCCACCCCTAATGTCACCCCCAAACCCCCAGCCGGCAGTCTCTGGGTACAGCCAACAGGTCCGAATCTACCATCGTGTGCCACTCTTGCCCCTGCAGGACTGGACCTACGGCCGAGCAGTGCCTAAAGGACTTGATGTGTCTGCCCCCAAAGACCCACCAACGCCCCACCCCTTGCTCCCCAGGGCCTTGCCTTAAGGCACCCCCTTTCCTGGCTTCACGAGAACAGATCCTCACGCTTCCGGGATGAACTGCCCACATCTCAGCCTGGGGCAGTTATTTGAGTTGAGGGTCACTGGCGCTCACCCAGAGAGGACGCGGGGCTGGCTTGTTTTTCCGAATCCGGCCCTCTCAGTCCGTGTGCCCATCTGCTCTCCAGAAAGAACTGCCCAGTCAGGGGCCCCGGCAACCCTCCTGGGCAACAGCCAACCCAGTGGGGCTCCCCCCGCCCCTCCAAGGAAAGGCTTCCCATGGGACCGGGCACCTAATTCTCCCTTTTGGGTGCCTGACCTCACTTGGCTTGCCCTGGGGGAGGGCTAGTTCTGTGCCCAGGCCTGGAGTGCACCCCTAGCTCAGCCAGTCAGTAATTGTCACAAGCTGGCCAACTTGCTGGACCCCATTTTCTGGACCTACTAATGTGATGCAGGTAACGATATCTGTGTTTACTGAACACTGAGCGTCTTGCCCGGGGACTGGGCTGAATATATGAACTCTCTCATTTTCTCCGCCCCAGGACTGTCCTTCCCTCTATTTTACAGGTGAAAGATCCAGCGTTTAGAGAGGAAAGCCCCTGCCCAAAGCACACAGTCAGCAGGTGGCGGAAGCCAGAAGGGAGCCCACGTCCGTCCGTCCTCCGCCCGCCCGCCCGCCCGCACATTTATCCTGGCAGCGTTGCCGGTGGGGGCTGTGGGAGGATGTTTTGCAAAGCGCCCACACTTCAGCTTTCCCATCTGTCCGCAGAAGCTTTCTGCCCGTGTGCTCAGGCCCAGCAGCCTTCCCCCTCATCCCTCCTTCCTCCTTCCCAGCCAGCAGGTGGCCTGGCCCACACCGACCTTGCCCTTGCGGAGTGGACCCCAGGGACGAGGCTCCCAGCTCCATCCCCTCACAGCTTTGACAAAAGACAGGGGCCAAATGGGGTGCAGGGGTCCACATGCCTGCCCTTGGCCCAAGAAGTCCGGGAAGAAGCAGGACGGAGAGACACGTGCATCGAGCCCCCTCCATGTGTCTGGCAGGTCCTGGAACGTGAGTGAATCGAGTGCCTAGCCCAGGGCCTGGCATACTTCAAGGGGTGGCAGTTCCTCCCCCCTCTTTCTGTCTCCCCTTTAAGGACATCTTGACAGGTGGCACAGGATGTCAGATTGGGGTGGGGGGGGGCGGCTCTGCCACTCGCCAGATGGGTGACCTTGGACAAGCTACCTAACATCTCTGAGCTTCTTGTGCTGCGTGAGGGTCCGAT